TGTAGCGACCAGCAGAAAGTCATCTGATGGAAGATACTGTCCTATGATTGCAAGCAGAACTCACCACAGTATGCTATTATTAGTGATTTTAAATAGTTCTTGGTGCCCCGCTTTTCTGGCTTACTAAGCACATACCTGGTCTTCATACCGGGTAAGCTAATACTGGAGTTTTGTTGTCTGTTTTGAGAACTGACTTGATTCAACTTAATTTTTTTTTTACTAATCCAGTAAATTAGTTACTATTTCTAATGGTTATCAAGGTTTCAGAGACCAAAAATAGGTCTCTAACGGTGGTATATTGACAGACCATTTTGTAGAAATTTAAAGTAAACTACAATCTATTTTTTGAAATAGCTTAAGTATCCACATGGTATCTTTTTTCTCATCATGTTAAAAAGAAAATGCCTGACTCACACCTCCCTAGACCTGGATGGAGGGGGGAGGGCCTTGGACTTCCTACAGGGCAGGGTACCCTGACTTTTCTTAGGACTGGAGAGGGAGAGGGAGTGGGAGGGAAATAGGAGGAGGGGAGGAGGTAGAAATTTTTAATAAATTAAAAAACAATGCCTGACTCAGTGATTAAAAGCAAGTACCGCTTTTCCAGCCAGGAACTCCAGCTCCAGAGGACCAGAAGCACTCTTGTGTCCTCTCTGGGCACTTCTCACATGCACAATGTGGCTCATGGCTTCAGTCCGTGTCATTTTGACGTTTCTGGGCCCATAGTGAAACAGTACAGCATGTTGAGTGGGAAGGAGCAGAGCTGCCTGCCTTATGGCCGTCAGAAGTAAGAAGAGACAGAGAGTCCTGGGATGAGACAGACCCTTCACAGCTCTCCTTACGGCGCTCCACCTCCTCCTCTCTCTTTGCTCCTTGGTGTTTCAAGACAGGGTTTCTCTGTGTAGCCTTGGATGTCCTGGAATTCTGTAGGTCTGGTTGGCCTCTCTGCCTCTGCCTTCTGAGCGCTTGGACTAAAGGTGTGTGCCACCACCTTCTTCCTCCTGCCTCTCAACAATCCACTGAACTATGATCCAATCATCTCTTGAAGCCCACCAGCTGGCAGCTGAGCTTTTCCTGTATGAGGCTTTGAGGCATAATTTTTAGATTCAAACTATAACAACGTGGCTCAAATTTTTAATCATAAAAAAGAATATAGAGCAGATGGGCATGGTGGCACTCACCTTTAATCCCAACACTTGGGAGGTAGAAGCAAGCAGATCTGTTCGAGCTCAGCCTGGTCTGTAGCAAGTTCCAAGATACCCAGGGCTATGCAAAGAAACCCTGTCTCGAAAAACCAAAGGAAACAAATACACCAAAAAACCAACCAACTTGTAGCATGAATAATAAAAACCCACAGTCAGATATAGGGGTTAAAGCTGAAGGTCAGAGAGGCAGAGCAGTAAGCCGCTAGAGAGACCTTTTCCCTCTACCAATGCTCAGACCAAAGGGGCGACTGCCTAGACTGCACTGTGTTTCCACCAAATATCAGACTCCACACTCCAGTGAGTTCCTGTCTCTTCCCCTGTAGTAGTAGGAGCGGTGGGCTACGTTCTGGCACCCGGCCGCCTGCACGGCTAGCTTTACCCAAAATAATTACACGGAAACTGTATTCTTTTAAACACTGCTTGGCCCATTATATCTAGCCTTTTCTCAGCTAACTCTTGCACCTAGACTAGCCCATTTCTTATAATCTGTGTAGCCCACAAGCTGGCTTACCAGGAATGATCTTAACCTGCGTCTGCCTGGAGTGGGAGAATCATGGCGATTCCTGACTCAGCTTCTTTCTCCCAGCATTCTGTTCTGTTTACTCCTCCCACCTATGTTTTAACCTATGGGGGCCAAGCAGTTTCTTTATTGCTTAACCAATGAAATCAACAGATTGATATATGACACTCCCACACCATTCCCCTTTATATGCCTCTCTCTGCCCAGCCATATCGCTTCTGTCCCCATCTCCCTAGTGCTGGGATTAAAGGTGTGTGCCTCCCAAACACTGGGATGAAAGGTTTGAGCCACCACCACCTGGATCTGTTTCTGGATTGATCTTGTGTAGCCCAGGGTAGCCTTGAATTCACAGAGATGATTCATCTACCTCTGTCTCCTGAGTCCTGGGATTAAAGGTGTGTGTCACCACTCCCTGACCTCTAGTGGCTTAGATTTGCACTCTAATCTTCAGGCAAGCTTTATTTATTAATATACAAATAAAATATCACTGCATCAACTCCCCCAAAAAAACAAGCAAATAACCCCCCAAAAAGGCAATATACAATGAAAAGCTTCATTCCACATCTCTCGATCTCTTGAAAGCATTTAAAATCATTAGCAACCACCTTTTTGATCTTTTGCATTATACATATAGTATAGTTAATATAGTCCTCTACGGCTCAAGTTATAGACAGTTGTGAGCCACCTTCTTGTAATCCTATGAGTTGTCTACAACTTAAAACAAATGACATTCTTTGGCAAGAATCTTACAAAGGAAGGCATCAATTCCATTTACTTCTGCAAACATTTATTGACCATACTGTGTGCTTGGAACAATGCTGGCTGTTCAGCGGGGATAAGCGAGTCATGGGATTGAGAGCATACTTTTCTTAATTATAAAGGAGAAGCAAGTAGAATGAAGGGCTGTTAGTAAGGAAATGTGAGACTTCAACTTGACCTAGTTGGAAGGGTTGATGAGAACAGGTTACCCCTTTGTTCTGCAGAGGACTGTAGTTGAGGTTCTTGGCCCTGCCTCCCTAGCAGGGTATACCAATCAACAGAGATCTTATTCACAGCCATTCTGATGGTATAGGTTCCAAGAATCTTGCTGGCAGCTTAATGTCTATTTCACAGTTTTTAGGGAGAAGGGAAAGCTATATCAAGCTTCCTTAACAGCAGAATATCAAAGTAGCCTGTTTTCAATTGAATGCTCAAAGACAAATCTGGAATGGCCGAATCCCCCCTGGAGCAGCTGAGAAACCATGGAGTGCTCACAACAGATGAACCGTGGGGCTGAGTAAGCCTACAGAGGTGGCAGCAAGCACCTTGAACATACCCTGTGTTGTCTTTGCCTTCAGGTTCCCACAGTGCCTTAGAGAGGCAAGGTGCTGTGAACATGATGGGGGGCATGACAGAACAGGGGTGTTTGCTGGAAATTGGGCGCATTTACACCTGGACACTCCTTTTCCTTATATAAACTGTGAAATTGAATACTGCCTGAAACCACTTGTCTGGAACACCAAATGGTCCATCTGTCAGTGCTGCTTTCTCGCTTCTCTTCCTTCTCTTTTCTACAGGTTCTTATGTGTCCTTGGCTGGCCTGAAACTCGCTGTGTAGCTGAAGATGAATTTGAGATCCTCCTGCCCTTACTTCCTGAGTGTTGGCATTACAGGCATGTACCATACACTCAGTTTATATAGGGCTATAGATGAACCCAGGGCTTTGTGTGTTAGCCAAGTACTCTGTCTTTTCTATTGGTCCTCAGACTAGGCTTGGGACCACAGTCTTGCATGAGGAAGCACATAATGATATCCTGTTTGTTGTCAGTGGCAACCATACTGGGAGAGGGCAGGTTCTGATGACTTTATTTGATCATCCACTTGAATTTGCAGAACAAAATTTATAAGCATTTTTCTTTCCCAGTATAATGTAAACAAGTTTCTAAAGAGTAAGCTGATAAATGGAATTTAACTGTAGTGTCCATAATCAATTCTTTGGAGATGTAGGAAGTCACTGATAGTGTATTTAATATGCTATCTTTGAAATAATGGTCCATATAGTGCTGGCGAGATGGCTTAGCAGGTAAGAGCATCTGCCACCGAGCTAGAGACCTGAGTTTGATTCCTGGGACTCACATGATAGAAAGGAGAAAACTGACTCCTGTAAGTTGTCTCCTGACCTCTGCATGTAAACACCCCCGACAGGCACAAAATAAAGCAAGATGGAGAAAAAAGCAAAATAGGCATTCTCGTGGGGACAGGAAAATAAAAGGTTCTCATGCCCTTAATTCATAACCTGATAACCCAGCAGGAGTCTCTTTTCCCTTATAGACAACTTATGGCATGTGCTTGTCCTTTATCACAAGATAACAAGAAACCCAGCAGAGTGACTCACCAGTCACTGACCGGTGGTGACTAACAAAACCCACTGGACCCCATACCGCCCAAACAAGCCAGTCAAATGCCTGCACCTAATCCGGATCCCCCACAATGTTTCGCTCCCCACTTCCTTCCAGTTGAACTTGTCTGAGAGTTCATTCTGTTTCACTGGGATCTGAGGGTATCCTTAATTTTTAACTTTCAAGTGACTGTTAAAGAAAAAGAAAAAGAAGACAATAGGCTTTTCTTTCATTTGCAACCCCCTTGCTCTTTAATTCTTCTTTTTTTTTCATGAGGCTTAATGGACTCACTGGGAGTTTTTAAAAATTGAATTTTTATGGTGAAAGGGGCCAATGACACCAATAGAAATATAGCCACATTAAAAAGGTAAAACATTTGACATTAAGTTTAACATTTAACCCAATGTATCATATAAAAACACCATTTCAATATGTAACCCATACTTAATTGTTGATGTAATATTTTACTTTTTGGTACCCTCTATATACTTGTATTGCTCAATTTGGGCTGGGCACATTTCATATGGTTAGGGGCCCATGTGACTATTGGCCACTGCACTGGGCAGCACAGGGCTTAAAGTAGGGTATAGTGACATCCACAGAGATTCCCCTCCCCACACAAGCGACTAAGCTTCTAGTGACATTCTAAAAGCATACTGTGATGATACAGGCGAGGAAGCTTAGAGAAAAGGGACGCAGGGACTATAGCATAGCTTTTGCTGATCAAGGCAATTGGAAGCAAAGGGGAGGGCACTAGAGGTGGGAAATGTATGCTGGTAAGCATATGGGAAGAGGTCATTTGATGATGCAGGACTTGGTGGAGGGTCTGCGACTTGCTACTGGGGTGACTTCTGACTACTGTTCTTTGTCTTTTCTTCTTCTGGCCCCTCTCTTGTCCAGCGGTGGTCTTCGGCCTGCCTTGCACCCGGGCCACCGAGGCCTGTTTGCAGGCCTGTCCTGCGGCCTGCACGTGCCGCAGCATAGAGCGTGGCTGCTCCGTGCATTGCGAACGTGCTGGTCTCCTGCGGGTGCCCACTGAGTTTCCGTGCGAGGCGGTCTCCATCGACCTAGACCGGAATGGCCTGCGCATGCTGGGCGAGCGGGCCTTTGGCACGCTACCGTCATTGCGCCGCCTGTCGCTGTGCCACAACAACCTGTCCTTCATCACGCCTGGCGTCTTCAAGGGTCTACCGCGCTTGGCCGAGCTGCGCCTGGCGCACAATGGTGAGCTGCGCTATCTGCATGCCCGAACCTTCGCGGCGCTCGGTCGCCTGCGCCGCCTGGACCTGGCGGCCTGCCGCCTGTTCAGCGTGCCCGAGCGTCTCCTGGCCGAGCTGCCCGCCCTGCGCGAGCTCACGGCCTTCGACAATCTGTTCCGTCGCGTGCCCGGCGCGCTCCGCGGCCTGGCTAACCTGACGCACGCGCACTTGGAGGGCAGCCGCATCGAGGCCGTGGCCTCCAGCTCGTTGCGGGGCTTGAGGCACCTGCGCTCTCTCAGCCTGCAGGCCAACCGCGTGCAGGCTGTGCACGCCGGGGCCTTTAGCGACTGCGGAGCCCTAGAGCACCTGCTGCTCAATGACAACCTGCTGGCCGCGCTGCCTGCCGCTGCCTTCCTAGGCCTGCGCCGCCTGCGCACACTCAATCTGGGTGGCAACGAGCTGGGCCGAGTGGCGCGGGCCTGGTTCTCCGACCTGGCAGAGCTCGAGCTGCTTTACCTGGACCGCAACAGCATCACTTTTGTGGAGGAAGGCGCCTTCCAAAACCTTTCGGGCCTCCTGGCCCTGCATCTCAATGGCAACCGCCTCACCGTGCTCTCCTGGACCGCTTTCCAGCAAGGCTTCTTTCTGGGACGCCTCTTCCTCTTCCGCAACCCTTGGCATTGTGACTGCCATCTGGAGTGGCTGCGCAATTGGATGGAGGGCTTGGGGCTTGTGGCTGATGTGGCATGCGCCTCCCCAGGTTCTGTGGCCGGCCTGGACCTCAGCCAGGTGGTCTTTGAGCACTCCTCTGATGGCCTGTGTATGGACCCCGAGGAGCTGAACTTCACCACATCCAGCCCAGGCCCCAGTCCAGAGCCAGTGGCCACCACTGTGAGCAGGTTCAGTAGCCTCCTCTCCAAGCTGCTGGCCCCAAGGGCCCCTGTGGAGGAAGTAGCCAACACCACCTGGGAGCTGGTCAACGGCTCACTCTATGACAGCCTTCCCTCCCTTGGAGTGGAGGTCTTAGGCTGCAAGGCCATGTTTCTGTTCATCTCTTGCCTCTTGCTAACCCTAGCACAGTCTGTAGTGTTCAGCCTACAGAGGGATTGACTTTGCCACACTGAAGTGACCCAAACCACTTTGGTCAACAGGGAAAGACTTACTTGGCTGTGATTTGGAGTGTCTGTAGTGAGAAGAGAGGGAATACGATTGGGGTTGGTGACAAAAGTTGTTGCTCCAAAGATAGCCCTAGGCAGAGGAGCACTCTGGGAAATGGCACCTAAGTGGGTATACGTTTCTGCTCTTCTCACATGGGCATCCATTGAAGAAGAGAAGAATGAGCATGCTCTCTTGGGTGGGTAGATGAGGAATGGAAGCTCCCGGAACTCCCATCCTTCCACCTCCAGGCAACAATATCCACGAGCCCTAAATTAAAGCGGGACTCGATCGGCTAAGTACTAAGAACCCATCACCTCTTCTGCTCCAGTAGCCCACTAAACTCAATCCATATCTTTTCTACCTTCTGCTCCCAGGGGCTTAGGAACAACAAGGTTCAGGAAGGCGGACAGGCCATTAGAGAAGGGGCCTGGGAAAGAGACTGAGATCCAAAGCAGGCGGTGGTTGCTGAGGTCTGAGGTGTTCCATTAAGAGGAATGGAAAAAAGACTCATGCCTTTTATATCACAATTGATCTCTTACTATAGGCACTGTCAGACCTATAGTAAGGTGTGTTTGTGGACCACATTTATAAAATGCTAAAATTAAAGTTAGACCAGTTTCTCTAATGTAAGACTTTTCAGTCTTTCAAATGCTATTGTTAACTTTCAATGTATTGTGAACTTTCAAGGAAGAACAAATCCTCTTTTCTGGTTCTCCTAGCTACCTGCCTTCTCATCTCCTCAAGAAACAGCTGCTTGAGGTCTCCAGGATGGCAGTAAACAGGATGCCTCTCCAGCCACATCTCTCTGAGCATGAGCCCATCAACTCCCAGCTCTCCCCTTTCCCATGTCGTCCCATGCCCGCAGGAAGCAGCCAGACTTGAGCTGGTGCCCCTTTATCCAAGGAAATGTTTGGCTGAGGGGCTTCACCTCAGTTCGCTGGCACCCCTTTAAAGCATCACCTCAGCTCCCTAACACCCCTTTATACAAAAAGTTGGGATTGTATGCCTGGGGGCATCCCCCCAGCTCCTGGCATAAGCTCCCTCCCCTAGGAGTTGCCTCAGTCCAAACTCCACCTCCAAGAAAGCCTGCCAAATGGTGACCCCTCCCTAGGGAGGGTCAAGAAAGCCCGCCAAACGGTACCCCCCCAGGAAAGGTTGAGACCACTCCCACAGGCTATTTAAACTGCTAGCCAGAGAATGAACACGTGGCCTCTGTGTTTTGCGTAGTCTTCCCCTCCCCCTGTTTCCCCGGGGGGCCACTCGGGAGTAAGGCCATCTATTAAACATGGGCATCTTTTAATTCGGTTTAATTCACTCTAATTGGAATTATTTATGTTGGTGGAGAGACTCTAAGCAGAGAAAATGCCTAACAAGAAGCATATCTCTTCTCACCAGATGCAGGATAGAGCATCTCCAGCTGTTAATATGAAATTATTATGAGCTGCTCGCATGGAGACTGACTAATGGCCAAGAGGGAAGAAAGCAGCAAGGACCTGGGAAGGGGAACTCAGATTTTTCAAGGTGCATGCCTAAGGGCAAAGGTCACCAGCACCTGTAATGAATATACAGGTACTCTGAGTGTGGGGTATATGAGGGTACAGATGCCAAATCCCACCCAGGGTCCCTGACACACTGGCGTTTCTTCGGGTGGATGTGGAAAAGAGCCGAAGTTGACTGTCTTGTCAGCTCCGGAATTGGCAGCTCTTTGGGCACTGGCAGACTGCCCTCTAACTGTTGGCCCGTGGGCTGGGGGTTGTGGATCAGTGGTAGAGTGCTTGCCTAATATGGGTAAGGACCTGGCTTCTATATTCATCACTGAAGACAACACAAAAAACTGCCCAATCACCTCTCATCTTAGTTCATAATTGCAGAAGAATCATTCTGAACTTACCACAATAGGTGCAGGTTCCTAATGGGCCATAAGGTGATCAGGTCAGCAAATATGCCATGTGTCTGCTAAACAGATGCTTCAGTTTGTAGGAGGGGGTTGCTTGTTTGTCCTGGCCGCCCAGAACCCAAATAATCACACAGAAACTATATTATTTAAAACACCGCTTGACCCATTAGCTCTAGCTTCTTATTGGCTAACTCTTACATCTTAATTTAACCCATCTCCATTAATCTGTGCATCACCACGAGGTCGTGGCCTGCCAGCAAAGTTTTAGCACGTCTGTCTCCAGCCAGCTCCCTGACTTCTCTCTGACTCCACTCTTCTTCCTCCCAGCATTCAACTTAGTTTTCCCTGCCTACCTAAGTTCTGCCCTGGTATAGGTCTAGGGCAATTCTCTTTATTCATTAATGGTAATCACAGCACACAGAGGGGACTCCCACATCACCAGTTTGTGTCCACACTGTGAACAGTGAGGGCTGTATTTGTCAAAGTCCTGGAAATGTAGTCTTCACGTGCTGAGTTCCTTTCTTTGTATATAGAGAGGTGAGTTTTCAAAACCCACACAGATTAGGGTACCAAGCCGTCAATGGCAACAGTATTTTTTTCTTTTTTAAAAATATGATTTTTTAATTCTTTGATAATTTCATGCATGCTTTGTGTGTGTTTATGTGTGACAGGGTCTCACTAAATAGCTGGCCTTGAAGTCGACCCCCTCAGTTGCTGGGATTACAGGCATGTGCTATCATGCCCAGCAATAGTATTTCTTAATACCAAGTAGTAGTACTAAGTCAAAACTACTGCAGTGTTCAAATATGCTTGCCTACTGCTTGGCTGAAGGGACACTAGCCCACTTGAGCGTGTGGCTCTGGCAGGCTTGGCCCTGCTTCCCATTTCCTCTGCCTTGCTAAAAACTGTTAGATTACATTCCCGAAGCTAGCCTAAAGGTATTTTCCCTTATTTGGCCACTTCCTCCTCCTGGGGCTGACTACCAGAGTCCAGCAATCAAAATCCCCCTTTAGCTTACCTAATTAACATGCCCAATTAAAATTAAAAACCTTACCTTAACACGAGGTTTCCCCCTTTACCTTTATAAACTGTCATTTACCTATGTCAGTTTCCTCTCTATATAGAGGCAGTCCTTTGTTCCTCCAGGACAAGTACCACTTCCCCTTCCCCCTTGGCCCCTTCTCCTCTCCCTTATCCCAATCTCCTTTACCACAGCATCCTAGCCCATTCTAACACAGATCTCCCCTTCTCTCTCTCTCTCTCTCTCTCTCTCTCTCTCTCTCTCTCTTTATTTTTTATTTTTGAGACAGGGTTTCTCTGTGGTTTTTTTTTTTTGGTGCCTGTCCTGGAACTAGCTCTTGTAGACCAGGCTGGCCTCGAACTCACAGAGATCCGCCTACCTCTGCCTCCCGAGTGCTGGGATTAAAGGCCTGCACCACCACTGCCTGGGAGGACACCTGCAAGGCCATTTGCTGCTGTTTTCTGCCCGGGTCAGAAAGCAGCCACTTGGCTTTTCTTTCCTGCTTAATGAAAGATCTCTCTGTAAAATACAGGTATTTGGATGTAGTTTGTGCCTACTCTGGGGTCCAGGAGGAAGCACCTGCTGTGCAGGGATCCCCTTCAGTGGCTATTAATTCAGTTGAATGGGTAATGACCAGCATTAAAAACAATACATAAGAGGTAGGAGAAATGGCTCATTGGTTAAGAGCACACACTGCTCTTGAAGATTGGAGTTCAGTGCAAGCATCAATGTTGAGCAGCTCACAACCACCTATGACTCCATCTCTAGGAATCTGACATCCTCTTCTAGCCTCCACAGGCACTGCATTCACACACACACACATGCTCGCACACACACACATGTAAGTGCACACATACAGGATTGTAAGCACACACATAGAGGATTAGAAATAAGATAAAGCTTTAAAAGCAAACACAGGCATGAGGGGCTTGGGGTGTAGCTCAGTAACAGAGTGTGTGTAGCATGTGCAAGGGCATGTGTTGCACCTCCAGGGCAGTACCATACAAAAAGCCCAAAATCTAACAACAAAAACATGTTAGACTAGGAAAGTCACAAAGTGTCACATTTGAGATAAGAATAAGCATTGTAGCCAGGTGGTGCCTGCCTTTAATCCTCACACTCAGGAGGCAGAGGCAGATGGATCTCTGTGAGTTCGAGGCCAACCTGGTCTACAGAGCGAGTTCAGGGACAGCCAAGACTGTTACACAGAGAAACCCTGTCTTGAAAAAGCAATCAAAAAACAAAGAAAGTAAGCATGATGCTGTGAAGCCTGTAATTTGCATACTCTTTTTCATATTGTGTGTATATGTGTATACTGGGTTGCTGTGATTTATATTTTAGGGTGGACTATAGTTTTAAAATGTCAAAGCTGCTGGTCTGGCACAGGCATTTGTTGCTGTTTTTTAACTTTTAAAATTACACATATTCATCAGGGAGGTTCCCTCAGGCCACGGCATGTGTGGAGGTCAGAAGCCGGCTGTGGAAGTTCTCTCCTGCAACCACGCAGGTCCTGGGGATTGAGAGCTCATGGTCAGGCTTGGTGGTGAGCGTCTTTACTTGCTGAGCCATCTCACTGGCTCTTGAGCATGCATGATTTTAAAGAGACAGTTTACTTTGGGGGCCGGAGAGATGGCTGAGTCAATAAGAGTGTTTGCTGTGTAAGTATGAGGACCTAAGTTCAAATCCTCAGACCCCATGTACAAAGCCGGTCACGGTCCTGAGCATGTCTATAATCTGAGTGCGGTGGTGGAGTGGGGATAAGAGAACTACTGGAATTTGCTGGACACCAGCCTGGCCAAAAACCATTTGTGAGCTCCAGGTTCCGAAGAGACCCTGTCACAAGGGAATAAGGCAGAGCAGGCTAGAGCAGAGGATCCAGTGTTCTGGCTCTGGGCTCGCGCATGAATGGGTGCATGCAGATGAGCAAGTGCTCCCACCATCCACAACACATAAGTGCTCCCACCATCCACAACACATAAGTGCTCCCACCATCCACAACACATAAGTGTTTTTTAAAGATTTTACTTTGAAAGGTTTTATATCTACAGAAAAATTGCAATAGTGAAATGAATATTTTTGCCATTTGCCTAAGTTTTCCAAACTGTTAGGCCTTTGGCCACATTTTCTCCCTCTCTCTCT